AAAAAAAAAAAAAAAATTGTTTGTCTTTTCTTTTCGGTCTACTGCTGGGATAGCGGTACGTTTACGTTCTTACAACGCTAAGATTCGGAGTTCAATTTCCTGCGGTGTATACAGCAGCTAGCCCAATGTGGCCTTTTATAAAACAAATAAACTTTCCGAACACAAGTGTCCCCAAGGGGTCAGTGGTAAATTTACGAACTTGCAACGCTAACGTCAGAACGTTCGGATCTTTGTGTTGGACAGAGAGCAGACAGCTCATTCTGTAGCTTTGCGCTAAAACTACAACAATTAGCATAATCTTGTTCTTTTATTGCAGTTTTAACTCTACAATATCTCTCATCCACAAGCTCTTCTTAAGCGACTTTTAGTGATTTGTCTACTGAGGCCGTACTGCGAATCTAGAGTCTTCTAGTGATTTGTCTACTGTGGCCGTACTGCGAATCTAGAGACTTCTAGTGATTTGTCTACTGTGGCCGTACTGCGAATCTGAAGGTCAAAAGTTCAAATCCGCGAAATGCGGCTGAACATACTTCGCATTTTCAGCAGTAGTTACGTTGTAAAATGACTGTCAATCTCGCTATTCCGCTAACAATAACCGTGTAAACGATGAGCGTTATTGACTGGTTGTCCTCCCTTTGGTCAACAGTTGAAAATTAGGGAGAGCTACGTCTAAACCTTGAGATCACTGACTCGGCCATTTAGCCGATCTGTTGCATAAGGTGAAATTGCCAAACACCAGCTTTATGTACTTTTTTAAATAGGAATGATTACAAACATGGTAATCTACATACAAATTACAAGAAGTTTACCAACAGTGAGGTAACGTTAATGTAGTAATGTGTTTAATGTTTTAACAAAAACAAACGAAACCCTTACATTTAAACATTAAACACATTACTACATTAACGTTACCTCACTGTCGGTAAACTTTTTGTGAATAATGTAAGGGTTTCGTTTGTTTTTGTTACAAAAAGTTTACTGACAGTGAGGTAACGTTAATGTAGTAATGTGTTTAATGTTTAATAATGTAAGGGTTTCGTTTGTTTTTGTTACAAAAAGTTTACCGACAGTGAGGTAACGTTAATATAGTAATGTGGTTAATGCTTAATAATATAAGGGTTTCGTTTGTTTTTGTTACAAGAAGCTTTCCAATAACGCAGTACCGTTCTGATGGTGGTTAAGGTTTAATAATGTAAGGGCTTGTTTTGGTTACAAGAAGTTTACCGACATTGTAGTGTTGTTACGGCGATGGATAGTGTTAAACATATGTGTAGATTTGTTCTGAGTTGGATTGTTTTTGCTATAACAAGTTTTAATAAAATAGTGTCAAAAAACTAATGTTATCTCAGATACTTCAATTAGAATATTTACCTTATAAATATGAGTGTGAGGTGCCTTTATTGGTGTATTTATCTAGTCACACTGGTGCCATTTTATTGTATCTTTGACCTTCTTAAGAACCGTGAAAAGGTTTAAATAAAAAAACACTTTTTGATATTAATATCTTCAAAGGATTTTACGTCACACTAGTTATCTATTTTTACTCCAAAACTCCTTAGTTTCTTGTGGTTGGGAAGCACTGATGTCTGTCAATGATAAATATATAGATATTTTTATCAATTTGAAATTTAACAATACCAGTCAGCCATTGTAACTCCAACAAGGCTTCTTAACCATAAATATCTTTGTTTCACCACTGAGAATCATCAGAAAAGAACTGTATCTTATCTAACTAGTTCAATCTACTTATTTCTATTAACGTAAATATTATAGTGATTAACCTAATAACCTATCACTTTGTTAAAGTGTGTGTACACTGTGCTATTGTTTTCCATACCGTTTTAAGTTTCGAGAACAAAAAAAATGTTTCTATCATTTTAAACTATGATTTATCTATGATAAATAAACGAGACAAAAAATCATCAAATCACATTAAAATCATTGAATCGGATTATAACAGCATAGAGGGCGCTATGGTTTTATTATGGCACTAAATTTCTTTTAAAGAGATAATAAGCGTAATTAGTAAATATCACTTGATTAGGCTTAGTACCTCAATAATTCTTACTCATAGAAACAGTTCGTAAATGTCTATTATGTCAAAGCCACTGCTGAAACACAACTGTTTCTTTTTAACAACAACAAAAAAAAAAAGTATCTGCATTACTGATGATCGTGGCTAGGACTAGATAAGTCACTGTTCTTTCAGGGGAAGTAGAAGAAGCAACTTTTAAGTGGCTTGACGTCACATGCTGGTTACGTCGGGACTATCTGACCAGACGAATGAAGTAGTGCCAGTATCTGGTCCCACTCTTCCAAATGGCGTCAACTGTTGAAATAATCACAAAATGTAAGCTGAATTAAAAAAAAAATTGTCGTAGATTTTTAACCAATGAACAATAAATTACGTAGTTCGAGAAAAGGCTTGTTCTGCAGCCATATTGAACATTTTAGCAAAGATAGAAAGTAATGCTGGTAGTACAAGATCAATTTGTTAAATGCTAGTAACATGTAATGATTAGTCGTTGTGATAATTGAAACAGGAACAGTACTTGTTACCAGGGTTATCTGTGTTGGTGAAATAAAATGTAATGATTATTTGTTGTGACCAAATAAATAAACACATTACTGCTATGAGAGATATCTACGTTGGTCTTACTATTCACGCGCCAAACAATAACCAGTAAGTTTTCTACCACACAGCAGTGTTTTTTATTATTCACGTTCAGAATGATATTTTTGTTACTCATCCAATAAGCGACATTAACAAACATGCTCAGTATAAAAGCTGTAGTAGTAGCTTTTGTACCCGTTGTATAGATAAATTAATTTATTTTAATGCTTCAAAAATGCTAAATGATTAAAGAGTTTAATTAAATGACATTTTCACACTCTGAATTTAATATATAAAATTATTAGAAGGATAACATTAAGCTCTACCGTGCCTTTACTAACGCACTAGCTGTAATTTGTATTCTGTTTTATATGGAACTTTTGGCAATTAAAGGTTAAATTAAAATTTTGGTATATAAAAACTTGTTGCCAGTGTTGTTACTTTTATACTGAGCATGTTTGTTAATGTCGTCTATTGGGTGAGTAACAAAAATATTTAAACTGAGCATGTTTGTTAATGTCGTCTATTGGGTGAGTAACAAAAATAGCCAGCACAGAAATGGGTTTGTTTCTACGTTTGTATCTATACTTTGTTTAAGAGCAACGCTGCACGATGAGCCACCTGCGCTGTGCCCACCGCAAGGATCGAACCCCTAATTATAATCGTTATAAGACTTCTAGTTTACATTGAACCACTAGAGGGTGAGTGGTTAAATGTTGAGTTTAAGTTTGTTTTAATATCAATTTCTCTATAGCGATCTGCTAATTGTAAGAATTAGATACATTAATACAATGAAAGTATTCAACAAACATTTGGCTACAGAATGGTTCAATTTCTCTCCTTTTCAACAGTTGGGTTCCAACTGATTTATACGATAAGCAAAACCTAGTGGTTTTGATGATTAATGAACATTCGGTTCACTGATAGAGCGAGAATAAGACACAATCCAAAAATCTGAGATTTATCTTTAGTAAAGACAGTTCAAAGTCGAGATGTCTGGTAAATAGTAATACCTTTCGATATGATAAGCCATGCGTTTATAGCGATACTGAAAATCAACCTGTCTATCATTATAGTTAAATAAGCATACTTTTCTTACATATCTAATTGTTCTGATTAGAATACACTGTTTCATCAGTTGTTAATAATGTTTTCGGCCATAATCCCAATAATATCTCGCGAAGTTCGACCAGCTTAGGAGACTTAGGTATTTAGGCTAGTCCTCGAAACCTATTTTAAGCTAACAGTGCAAAACACTTTTTACAATAAAGTGTGAAAACAAAAAATATATCAAAGTAAAAAGTAATGACATTTGATAAACTAACTAGTATAACCAATACTATTAATAGGTGGAGTTCTTGATCTTACCCTTTCACTAGTAAACTGTAACTTGGAGATGGAATGAATTACTAGCACCATTTTTAAAAACCTTGTATTGAGGGTCCCAAATTAGCGGAGTCTCGGTTACCATTTTGTTAATAGACTCGTAAACTTTGGTTCTATATTCAGTTTGAACAATTAAACAAGCCGGTAATTCCTCAGGTTAAACAATTAAACAAGCCAGTAGTTCCTCATTTTACGCAATTAAACAAGCCGGTAATTCCTCAGGTTAAACAATTAAACAAGCCAGTAGTTCTTCAGGTTAAACAATTAAACAAGCCAGTAGTTCCTCATTTTACACAATTAAACAAGCCGGTAATTCCTCAGTTTAAACGATTAAACAAGCCGGTAGTTCCTCATTTTACACAATTAAACAAGCCAGTAGTTCCTCAGTTTAAACGATTAAACAAGCCGGTAGTTCCTCATTTTACACAATTAAACAAGCCGGTAGTTCCTCATTTTACACAATTAAACAAGCCAGTAGTTCCTCATTTTACACAATTAAACAAGCCAGTAGTTCTTCAGGTTAAACAGTTAAACAAGCCGATAGTTAAAGACTTCAGCACATATTTTCTACGCACATAGAGATGCTATATTCTCAAAAATAATTGTGTAGTAAAAGGACCTAAACCATGGACTCCTGGATTCACACTCCGTCACGCTAGCCACTAGGACGCGCTCGAATTATTGGAATTTTGTAAAGACGCGTAAGTTTTATATCTTGTGACGGGTTTACTATCCTGTATCTATTTTAATATCGATTTTTGTTTAAATTAAATTTATATGTAGAAATGTAAATAACTTATACTGTTAAATCTATATTGCAAAATTCCTGCCTATTCACTAAAATTGTAGAAAATCTTCGAGTGTGAGAATCAACAATATATGTGTGTACGTAAACACTGGTGTATCTTTTATATTGTTGCGTAAGCTGAAATTTCGAGAAACTCTCCTGACGCCTATAAACATAACCAACGTGAAGCGCCAAAAGACAGTATATATATATTGGTTTGCTATAGTTGGTGTGCTATAAACTTCGGAAGCTATAATTGTGACTGTTATAACGCTTATTAATCGGGAACTTCAGATATTTGACCAGGAACATTTATAAATTTCGAATATCACAAACCATTTAACTTCAGCGGATTCACATCGGACCTTAGAATTTTTTGTGGCCGGCGAAGAACGAAGAACACAGAGCTGGTTAGCCCCCTGTGAAGTGAATCGTACCTACATCTACTCAAAATTAATTCGCTCATCGTGAACCTTCAAAAAGATAAAGGAAGTTCCAGACCAGATAGAGGACTAAATATTGTTTGTACGTTTGTAAAACTTTTGTACATAGATCATTATTTGTAATAACCGTTATTGTAAATTGTGTTATTGTTTGTATATTAAAATATATTTGTATTAAAAAACTTTGTGTATCAATCTTGTTGGCAAGTATCATAAATTGGATACATATCGACATTTATTTAATTTCTAAATCTAAATTATCATTTAACTGTGTTTCAGGCTATTCGAAATTATAATACGTTACTAATAAATTGGAGGCTCGTTCAGGATAAATTGTAATACGTAACAATCTGCTGGGTTTAACTATTTTATAAGAAACTTATTAAAAACAACAAATAATATGGATCTTCTAACTGAGGAAACTGTACTTATTATTGACCCTTTTTCCTGTAATAAAAGTTTAATGTTTTGACCTGGAAAACACACTCCGCATTTTATTAATATTTTTTTTAAATGCAGGGGTGTTATAGTCGTGACATTCGATTCCGCTACTTGGTTAAGAGTGACCCCTTTTTTCTCTTTCTGGTCGGTAGACCTAAATCAGGGATGGCTGTACTTGAAACTGGGGGTCTCTGACCTGAACGCTGATGGTGAAAATACTAAATATCAAAGTCTGCTAACCTTTAGTTATTGTACATTTATCAATAAAACATTACTTAGTCATTTACAACAAATTGTAAAAAATAGCCTTCTCAAATATAATGACGAGCTGACCCAGAAGAATAGAACTTCCTAAAAACCCACTCACTACGTCAAAAGTTGTAAGACGAGAAGTGTTAAAGACTAAAGATGAAAATTAAGTCATAAAAATAAGTTTCTTATTTATGCGTTACAAGGGTCACTTTAAGTCCTAGCGAGAACAAGAACACCAATATTACCTAAGATTGATACATAATTCAACATTCTTTAGTAACAAATATGATTTAAGACAAGCCACATAAGGCCCAACAGGAAGGAGCCATCCTTCACACTAAACCGATTAATTCAATACGGTTAAGTCCTTCTGAGGTTAAATCATCTCGGTAATAACGGTTGCTATGGTTACCTGATGGTAGGGCTAGAGTCTGGAGTTGTCGTAGAGGCAACCAGGGAAACAGGGAGATCTATGTAAGACAGAAATATGAATCACTATGTATATATATGTATATATATATATAT